TTCAATTATTTTTTAGGAGTCTAATTTAGGCGTTTCTTTGCACTTCTGCATCAGAGTAAAACAGTTGTGGTAACTAACTTTTATGAGTCCCATGGCGGCCCTATATTGCCCAGGATTACAAAAAATGTAGAAGAGCTAAGAAACTCCTAAATTAAATAGAAAATAATTGAAAATGCTTATCCCATTACTACGATTGTTTAATTGTGAATTTTGAGTACCTAGATCTAGTTCAGATTCCCATAGACTAATTTAAACAAGTTAAAACGATGTTAAGTTCGGCCGGGTCGGTTTTTAGTGCAGAGATGTAATGGTACCCTTATGAGAACCCAAACAGCAAATTACAGGTAATTTTATTGAAAAACGTGTAAAATTCTCCATATTTTGGGGTACCATATTATGGGGGCTACGCTGAAACTTGGATCAATATAAATAATTTTTGGTACGGATATGTGATATATAATGAGAAACGAAATACGTTTCCAAAATCCCCCAAATACCGAATACTGGAGGATACCGTTATATGGGGGGCTACACCAAAACGTAGACCGATATATCCCATTTGCAATACCAAAAATCCTAGGAGTACTAGCAATGTCTGTGCAACATATCAGAGCTCTACCAAGAGACGGACAGGCAGACAGACGAACATGCGTAAACCGACATAGTATTTTATTGTGATTAAAAATATATGTACTTTATGGGGTCTACGGTAAATTCGAAGTGTTGCAAACGGAATGACAAATTTAATATACACTCCACCTTATGTTGGAGGGCCAACCTTCGGACCCTTGTTAGGGGTAATAGTTTGTGCAAAGTTTGATTCAAATCGGACATTCGATTCGCCCGATATTGGATTAATAAGTATTGAAGATTCTGACCATTTGCGGAGGAGTCCGCAATGTTCAATATGGAGTCTGAATATGGATCTCATATTCAGACTTTATGTAGGCTTAGTAAAGATAATAGGTTGCACAAAGTTTGGTTGAAATCGGATAGTCCATTCACATGATTATAAAAAAATATTCTCAGCATTTTCAGAAGAAAGAACCGAATTTCCCATTTTCGAACCAAACCATGTTTAGAAGAAATATTACGAGGTGAAAAGTTTAGATGAAATCGATTACTCCCTTCGAAAGTTATCGTGCACACCAGCCAAACAGATAAGATTTCACCTTAGCTGTAAGGGTGGGGGTATAACCAGTGAGCGGAGCAGTATAGTTGAACGGGACCGATCATATGATACCCTTCAGAACTATCACGAAACAATAAATTTCTGCGTATCTATATTTCGATGCTGGAAAATATTTCTTGACGGACAGACAAAAATAAAATTAACTTATTTCTCTAAATATCATCGGATCATCATCCAAAATTATGGACATCGTCATTTACCATAACTGAACTTCAAGCGCAATTTCAGAGTGATCAGCGGGACATTTCCTACCTTTTAGTGTTGTAAAACAGAACACAAACACACCTGTAAATATTTTAGTAAAACTCCCTCAATCGAGTACCTACATCAATGTAATAGGGGCCAATTCAAAGGTCAACCATTGCTATACTATAAATTTCTGGAGTCTATGTCCTGCAGGAGTAAATATAAAGAATAAATTACAAATTTTTTAAAACCCGAACACCAATAAATACTGGGAAGGGAATATAGTTAACGAAAAAGCATGTATATTCCGATAAAAATCGGTCAATGGTATTATCATACCAGGAGATGGATATTTCGCAGAAATTTTCAACTATTTATACCCTACACAACTATGTTGTCAGGCTATTATAGCTTTGTGCAGCCCCAAAAGTTTGTAACGCCGCGAAATATTGGTCCTAGACCCAGCTTTAAGTATATCGATCATCATATCTCGACTAGCTGAGTCGATCTAGACATGTGTGTCCGTCCGTCCGTCTGTCCATTATAATTTGTAAACACGATACAGGCCACAGTTATGGACCAATCTTCACGAAATGCACGTAGAATGGGTTCTGGCCAATGAAGACCCCTATTGTTTTTGGTAAAGATCGGATAATATTTAGGGGATGAAATGGACCAAAAACTTTATTTTTGTCTGATTTTCTGGTCGCTCTAGAGGCCGCAATTATGGTCCAAACATCACGAAATTTTACAGGAGAAGGGTATGGAGCCAAAGGAACTCAGATCGGCCAGTATTTAGCGGGTCAAATGGACCCTGACTTTTGTGTGAAAAATGACAAATTTTTTTTCTATAGCGTATAGATTTACCCCAGAAGGACATAGACCCGAGAAGTTGATAGTATATCCAAGAGGAGTGGCTGACCTATAAACTGATACTGATTATATGGTTGTATGTGAGCGGAGTCGTATAGTCGGCCCCGTCCGACTATACTGCTCCGCTCACTGGTATTTTCTATACCTTCAATCAAATCGAATGGGTTAGGGCTTTTTTAATTTTTTTATAGATATCTAATTTAGGTGTTTCCCTACTCTCCTGCTATAAAAATTCAGACATACAAAGAAACTCCTAAATTAGGTTTCAATAAAAAATAATTGAAAAAGCCAAGCTAGTACTATGGCAGATTATCATTCTTTTAGGTAGATTACCATTAAAACATGAATTTCGAGTAGTTACGTCTAGCTTAGATTCCCATAGACTAATTAAAAACAGCATGATAGTCCAATTTTTCTAGATCAATTCAGCTAGTCGAGATATGACGATCGTTATACCAAAAATTGGCTCTAGGTCCAATATTTATGTATTGTTATATGATTTATTGTCACTTAAAGGTAACATCATAATGCTCCTCTCATAGAAGTCCTTCTGTCTATTTGCAAAAAATTCTAGCAGTCGATTTTCACAATCCTCCTGGTTGGCTACCGTTTAGGTGCTTCACCGCTTTTGACCACGATCGTATTCGCACATGGCTATCATATGTGATCCATTTCTCATCTCCAGTCACCATCCGTTTAAGAAATGGTCTATCTCATTCCGTTTGGCCAAGGCTGTTAATCGGTGTGGCACCTAAACATTGAGCTTCTTTTTGAACCTAGCTTTGTGTAAATGCTTTGAAACAGTTTTATGATGGATCTTTAGCTCCTGGGCGATGTTACCGCTGCTAACATGCCGGCCAACTTCGATCATTTCTCCAATTTTATCGACATTTTCGACGACCGGCCTGCATCATTAACACCAAAAATTCCTGAACGGAATCTACGAAACCAAAATTGCATATAATTGGCTCTTACAGTATCGGAACCATAAACACCATTCACAATTTTAGCCGCTTGGCTTGCATTTTCGCCTTTGTCAAAGAAAACCTGTAAAATGTACCGAATTTTCTCTTTGTTCAATTCCATTTTTAACCCCCTGTAACTCACAACTGAATGCACCAAAAAAACAGTAAAACATTTTTTTACTGCGAAATGTCACCCTTCCAACGAGCATAAAACTGAAACTGTTCGATGGATACTGTACGAGAAATCTATCAGTACAGCCATCAGCCGAAAAAATAATGGATTTCTTTTTTCCCAACCTATTATCAACTTTTATTTGATGTTGTACGTATACGGTTTTGTCATTTATAATATGAAACTCCGCCATCTAGGGGCTGGATAATGAATGTGGTATACATACGTTTAGTTTTCTCCATACAAATTATAAATGTGTATGAAGTTCTGAAAAAACGGTTTATTGTATTGTTAACTTCTACTTTTTTAGTGGTTGTACGAATATGATTTTTGTGTATCGTATCTCCAGATAGTTCGTCTTTGGACTCAATTAGTTGTGCTGCGAATTTGTATCTCATCCTCCTCATTCCCTGGATTATAGCCTCGTGACTTTGTGCAAATTAAAAAAACGGCTCGATGGATAGAGAAAAGACGTTGCAAACATTGAAAAAATTAATAAAAAAAAAAATTATAAAAAATTTGGTTTTTATTCCAAAAAAAGCGAAATTTGTAGATTGCCCTAGAACAACATTTGTTTAAGTAATAATCTAAAGTCATACAATTTTCTTTACGATTTGTAAACAGCACCCACAGTGTTAAATTGTAAAACCCACCCTCCTCCTCATAAGCTTTTGACATTAATCCAAATGAACAAATTTAATCAAACAAATTAATGTATTTAGTCATCGTCTTCTTCCTACCTAATGCATTCTATCTATTTGTATTTGTGTTCGGCATAAAAGATTAGAATTAGACAACGTCAGTATCATAATAAAAATATATGTTTCTTTGCCACCTAAAGCAAACAAATGTAATGGAATTTTTTGACCACACCGAAGTGGAGAATAAAACGCATTTGCTTAATGAATATCAGCGTTAAGTCCCTTAGTGACTGATAAAGTTAATCAAGAGTTTCTTATAGATGAAAATATGTATATTTGTAACAAAGAATTTTAAGAGTATTCTTTGTTTCTATGAATGGTCGTTCTGAAAATTGGATAGAATTGTGTTTTGTATATTTTTTTATGATCTCGTTTTATTTTTGACAAAAACAAAAATGTCAAGTCTCTAGATGGAATATTAGGGTGGATATGAAGGTTAAAAAGATGTATAAAAATTATTTATAGCCTAGACTACTAGGATGGATATGGGGTTAAAAAATGTATCAAATTTATTTATAGCCTAGATCATGGTACGGTTTTTCGATAATTGACTGAGAGTATGGAAAAGTCTATCTTGCAGGAGAATACTTGAAAACCCATAACACCCTTTTGATGATAAATATGCACTTTTCATTATTAGGCCAGAAATATATGTAGTAGTCCTCGTAATCTGACAATTTCTGTGTCTGCCCTCCGATGCGTTTGAAATCATCTGTAGTAATGTTTAAAAAAAAAACTAATTAAAAAAAGTTGCCCCTTCCCCACCATAATCAAATGTCCACTCCACATGATCGTATATTACACCCTAATAAACAAAATAAACAAATAAATAAAACACGCGAACATTTAAGTTAATTTAAGAAAAAGACAATTGGTCTGGATGATTCGCCATCTCCAAGTAGCACCTAAACGATGAAAGTATCATCATCATCAACATGAGCAGAACCAGCAGCACCAGCATGAGCGACAGTACCAGCAGTTGGTGATGGTGGTGGCGGCAATGGCGGCGGCGTTGTTGTCGTCAACAGCATAGCATTGCTACATTGTATATTTTGTTGCTGTTGTTGTTTTTGGCTTTTTGTTGAATTTTTATTATTTATATGACACAAGTTGAAGGGATATTAATAAAAATGAATTTAAATGTGGAATTTGTTGTTGTTTTTTTTTGTTGTTGGCTCCTTAACAAATATAACAACGGTCAATTAATATCAGCGAGCATAAAAAATACTACGACAAATATGTAGTAGCTATGTATGTGTGAATACATTCATCGATAATATTTAAATAAGAAGAAGACAAATTGATATATAGAACAACAACAACACGCTTCGTGTTAGTATATTTTTTTGTAATGCGTATACAATAACAACAAAAACAACAGAAAAATAATAAAAACGATTTACTGGATTTCATGTGATTCAATAATAATTGAACAAAAGTTGAAAATAAAAACAAATGAAATGATGATGATGATATTGTGATGATGGTATACAATTTATTTGATTTTTATTTTAATATAAAAAATACAGAAAAATTTATTGGCAGTTTTTAATTAAATTTATTGGTTAAATTTGTGTATTTACTTATCTAAGTCTGTCCTACACCCACACTATGGTCCAGGGTATAATGTTTCGAAGTAGTCCACTACTTGCAGATTCAGAGTTGAAAAATAAATCATTGGAAAAAATCAGCAGAAGCTAAATCCATTAAATACTGTGGTTGAGACATGATAATCTGAATATCCGGTTCAATTTTAAAGCCGGTCCATAATTCCGACCTGTAATAAAAACAGATGGACGCACACACATCTCTAAATAGGTTCTGTGTTTACAAATATATTCGCTATATATTTAAGGTGGGTCTTGAGGTTACAAAAACTAATAAGACAAATCCTAAAATAGTTGTATAGGGTATAATTAAGCTGGGGGTCTTTTAGGGGCCTATGTACAAAAGAAGGGGGATTTGTTCATATAAATATCTAACAGATGTAGCCGTACTTGACTTTTATTCCTTCTCACACAAAACCAATAAAACTACTTAAGGGGTTCCCCCCCCCACCTTTCTCGGTGCCAAAAAATGCCCCTACAAAATTTCAAGTGAAAATCTCAACAACTCTTGAAGATGTAGCCGATTTATTGTGTTACGACAGACATCATTCTAGGCTCAATTCAAAAGCGTTTTGCCAAATTTTTTTGCAAATGGCGGGCAGATATATAAAAACTAATAACCCAATCCATTTTAAATTTTGGGACGTTTCTCTGTGAGTGTATAGCTATCGTATGATCTAGGATAAAGCCAATCGGTGGTATATTGTGCAAAATTTGATATCAAATTTCGTGCAAATCAAAATATATAGCCCAATTTACTTGAAATCGGCGAAAATATATATGGAAGCTCTATTCAAATATTAAGCGATTTAAAACAAACTTGTCACAGGTTAGGTTAATTCAGTAATTTCATGTTAAATTTTGTTCAAATCAGATATATAGGTTCCTTGGTGCGTCAATTACATGAAATTGGACGAAACTATATATGGGAGCTATATCTAAATCAGGACTGATTTTCTCAAAACTTGGCAGACATCACTCTAGGCTCAATTCAGTACGTTATACCAAATTTCGTGCAAATCAAAGGATATAAAGGGACTTTGGTGCACCATTTACATGAAATCGGACGAAACTATATATGGGAGCTATATAGAAATCTGGACCGATTTTCACGAAACTTGGCAGACATCATTCTAGACCTAAATGATTAGGTTGTACCAAATTTCGTGCAAATCGAAAGAGATATAGGGACCGTTTACATTAAATCGGTTAAATATATATATGGGAGCTATATCTAAATGTGAACCGATGTTTCCTAATTTCAATAGGGTCCGTCCTTGGGCCGAATAAGTGACCTATGCCAAATTTCATCCAATTCGGATCATAAATGCGACCTGTACTTTGTTTACAATTTAACATGCACAGACAGACAGACGGACGGACGGACATGCATAAATCGACATAGAAAGTGATTCTATGCATATTCTCAAAAGGAACCATGTGTGTATCTCGTTTCCTTTTGCCTGTTACAAACATATGCACAAAGACATAATACCCTGTACCACATTGTGGTGAAGGGTATAAAAAGGTCCGCCATTTTGTTAGTTCATACGAGAGCCAGACATGTACTCTTTCTAACACCCTTGGAATTTCCGGATTCCGATGTCCCAGTGAGTAGTTATCATGACCGCCATCAAAAATAAGGACTTTCCTTTAATCACCAAAAACAACAACAACCAAATTTCGCAAATTATTTCTCTTCTCTTATAAATCTTCAATTATATATGTATAAAGTTACAAACCTTAACCTGCATTGGTATTCATTTACCCAATGAAAATCTTGAAAAATTAAAATCGATCGATTTGCAAGAAATTTGGTAAAGTGTATTGAATTGAGTCTAGAATGATGAGTGCTAAGATTCGTGAAAATCGGTTCAGATTTAGATATAGCTCCCATATATATATTTTCGTCCGATTTTGTATAAATAGTGCGCCAAACAGCCAGTGTTTGTTCGATTGAGCCAACATTTTGCACAGCGTATTGAATTTACTACATTTTAAGGTCTGTAAACTTTTGTTGGAATCGGCTGAGATTTAGATATAGCTCCCATATATATATTTTCGTCAGATTTTATTCGATTTCATACAAATGGTGCATTAAACCCAAATCCAAGTTTGTTTCATAGTCTTCAGAATGGTATGTGTACTTTCCTTACTGGTTTACACATTGAATGCGGCTTAGCATATTCTCCACCAATTTGAAGTGATTATTTATACTTTTTCGAGTCGAGCTTGATGATCTAAGTTTTGCAATGTAAAGCAAAGCCAGGAGAATAACCTACGTACCCACCATACGATCATCACTTGTATATACCAGGCATATTGGGCTAGTGGCTTTAAAGGGTATCATATAACTTGTATTTATTCCGCCCTGATGCGAAACTTGCATATGCGAACTTTCCTATATGTCTTCATTCTAGGAAGAGTCATTTTCAAAACAGATTTTTGTTGTAGCGATGGATAATTAATCAACACACCTACAATTGCTTCCATGGTATACACCAATTTGTTTATGATTTTATCTGAGATTTTGTTCCATTCCGCTCTGTACTCTTTGTCAGAGTTCATCCATGTTCGTTAGTGTTCTGTCATTCACTGTCAGACTTTCCTTACAAGCGCCCACAAATCTTCGATAGAATTAAGGTACAGGGTTTGCGCTGGCCATTTGAGCTATTGATCATCATCATCTTCATCATCTTCTTTTCTGCACATTTTCTAGCAAATTGGTTGGAAGAATATTTAGATAATCTTCCTTCCTCATTAGAGAAAAACATTATTTAAAATAAAAGAGAAATAGTGCATATTTTTGACGGTAAAGGTAATTTCCGATCACAGGATCATCTGAAAAGAAAAATTCTAAGGAGTGTTGAAAAACGACATTTCTAAGTCTAATATGGAGGGTCTGCCAACTGTTTTTTCAGAAGCCAAGTCCATATTTTAAACCCCTTTAGATGATTCTTCACATTAAACGTACGCACCAATGATTTACGGCATTCTGAAAAAATCTTTATACACTGTCAGACTTTTCGAAGGATAGTAAGCTACACTTCTATCGGTACACTCCATCTAGTATCTCCCCCACAAAGGGTCAATATTTTGAAAAATTGTAAATTTTATTCAAACTTTGTAACTCGTAATACTTTCACCAAACCTAGATTAGATCCGAAGATAGGACACATCGGTCAACTCCTTCCGGAACCTCCCCAAGAAGTATCCGAATTAAATAACTGATTGTACGCGATGTACCTGTAACGATCAATCAAAGCACCGCAATCGTAAATTTTAAAAATGTTTTTGCATCAATCAATACGAGCCTAACACAAGGCGGGGATTTTAAATAAAACAAGGACCTTTACAAACGTGGACTTAAAGTGAAAACATCATGCCACAGACTGATGAAAAGTGAAAATTATATTCTTCACTCTTTTTGCTTTAATACATCCAAAAGAGCGAATATAATCATCACAAAATAAGATGTAAAAATAAAAACCCAAAAATATTTTGATTTGCCTTTTTACATTCTCAAGTCTTTCTATACAAAACAAAATTCGAAAAGCCAAACGAAAAAAAAAAAAACAAAACGAAACGAAAGAAACACATTAACATTAATTCGCATTTTCATTTTCGTCATCTCGAGAAAAGTGTGAGTGGGTGTGTTGGGGCTTGTTGTTGTGTGGGGCGGGGGAGGGATTGCTATCCAAGACGATTGCTTTGGTTGGTTTTCTTCTGTCTGTATTAAAGACAATTTATATTTGTATGACATTGGATGTCAAAGAGAATGTCATGCAGACACGAACGAAAATTCACACACATACACTTACACGAAAAACAACACCTACATTCACAAATACGAATACAAAAATTTACTATCAATTTGAATTGATTGCTTACACGCAATAAGAAGCAAGTCTCATGGAGGCCAACTTCCAAAAAACTGAGTGGTTGAATATTTTGTCTCTCAGGTTAAGAAAATGTCAATAAATAAGGAATTGAATAATTGTTTTACTCTCACTTTTAGTTTTCTATGTCTCTCTGGTGCAAATACTCCTGAAGGATAAAATATTGTAATTTGTATTAATATTTTCTTTTCATTGAAATTTATGATTTCAAGAGTTAAAAAATAAATACAACAAATACATACATATATGTATATTGTATTTTTATTGGCTTAAAAATACATTGTACGTACCAATAAATTTAAATGTTTTTATAAAAATTTGTAAAAAACAAACTTTGGACTTTTCTTTTATAAAATAATGTGTAATGGGTGATGCTGATATTTTTTTGGCAGTGATTTCAATTGTCATAATTAATTTTGTTTTTATTATTTTCATTGATAATTTATAAAGTACATGAAAAAGAAACACAGCCATGGATGGTTATCGTATCTATTAATGCGGTATATGTACACATACATAGGAATA